AAAAGACAAAAAAGTCGTCCTTTAACGTATCTAATTCGCTTTTAAATTTACTAATGTTTTCCATTTGTACTTCTTGCCAGAAACAAGAAGAGAAATTACAGCAGTTGTTGGAGGAAAAAGAAAAGAAACAAGAAGAACGAGAAAATAAACAAGAAGAGAGATTACAGCATTTGCAAGAAAACCTGCAACAGTGGCAGCTCGAACAACAAAATAAACAAGAAGAGAAATTACAGCAGTTGTTGGAAAAGAAAGAAAATAAACAAGAAGAGAAGTTACAGCACTTGTTGGAGGAAAAAGAAAAGAAACAAAAAGAGAGACTACAACAGAGAAGAGAAATTACAACAGTTGTTAGAGGAAAAAGAAACAAATCAAACTACAGCCTAGCAGACTTGATGGCAGCAATACACGAACAGCAAAAGAAACAAGAAGAACGCCCCTTCTCGTTTCCATTTTTTTTCTCTCCCACTCTCTGACACCAATTTGTTACGTCTCCATTTGTTAATTAACTTTCCGTAACTTCGTTCTGACGAAACTTTAGTGACACAAGTCCTCACTTAATAAAACTGGTTTATTCTTTCTGAATATAATTTTACCAATACACTCAACTTCAACAGTTGTGCTATAACAAACTATAATTCACGTATCACAAGCTAGACTTCAACAATACGTCTCTCTCTGCTGCAGTTCAATTACTCATTACCTACACACACATTATTCCGTCACGTTGTGACCATCTTTTATATACCAGACTACTCTATATCTAGTAAATGCTAGGGCATTCACCAAGGTACAGGATAGTTCTAGAAACGTGGCATGACACTAGTCATGTGACCTCGCTGACGCAACAATACCCTGATCAATAAAAGTCCCACACAGTAGACGGACACTCTATATGATATTACGTATCTGGTCACACAGTATGGTTGGATTACTATTATTACACACTATTCTAATTTTTGAGAATCCCTATAGGACTAGATTAAGAATGTAGTGCTTAAAAATATAATAGGACTAAGATTAATGTCTTATGATAAGAATGATTAATCATAATCATGCTTGGCAAGCTTAGAAAATAAGGTATTCACAGTATAAAAATTGCTGATGTAAGAATTGACTTATGTGAATAGTGTTCCACCCACCAGTACATTTGTTGTGTCACAGCCGACCTGATGGACTCTAGACTGAGCAAAACGTGTCATTGGCAACGAGTATTGCAAACATACTGTGGTTGGAATAATTTAGAAAATTATAATTATCATAATTTAGAAAACATTCTAACTAATTTCATAATAAAAATGACTGAGCTCCAGAACAAAACTAGAGGGGCACTCAGTACAACACATGCCTCCACAAAGCAGTGTTGATCATATTCAGCTCTCAAAAATTGGTTCCCACGCTAATAGATAGCGATTGTTTGGATTTTTTAAGTGACTTTGACCCTCTAGAAACTAATAACTTCTACGTTGGGTCATATTCGAAATATATACCAGCTTTTGTCCAAATTCTTTCAGCTATTTTCGAGAAATTATGCTGACAAACACATACACAGGGGAGAAAAACATAACCTCCATCCACCTTTAGTGGCAGGGGTGATAATTTATTAGCCAATGCTTCCATTCATGTCTTTTAGTCTAACCTCCTTAAAATGATCATTAATTCTGTCATACCAGTTCCTGAATGCCAGAACAATTGGTTCAATACAGCAACTGCTGAGCTCTGAATAATGTACAATATTTTTTGTTAAGGTATCTCCTCAACATACCAAAAATAGAATATGTATCATCTTTGTGAAGAACAATTCAAGAAAAATGTTTCACAATAAAATAGTTTTCATGAAAGAGTTAGCACAAAGGATCACATATAAAGTGTAATAGATTTAAAACCCAAAACTCGATTGTTTTCGAATAGTTGACTAATCTTCTTCTTGTTCTCCTGAAGAAGAATAGTCAACTATTCAAAAGCGCTCGAGTTTTGGGTCTTATTTTAAGTCTGTCACAATAAAACAGGTTAAAATGCTGTTACAAATTTCAACATTTATCATTTAGTATCATATCAATACTGCATTATAGATTTATTTTGTTATTTATCAAGCATACACACATAATACAAATGGTAATCATAACTACTACCTTAATTCAGAAGCTGCACAGTGCTGCCACTCTGTTTAAAAAGAAAAACTACAATAATAGCAAATAAAAAAGAATGAAATGTGTGTTATCTAAACAATGATTATGTCAACTAGTGTAAATGGAATTGTTACTACTTGAAGAAATTATTTTTAGGAAACTAAATGATAGTTCTCTTCGGGACAATTTTTTCATGAATACTTCCCACACTTTAAAGTTTGAAGGATAGTCCAATCAGATGCATATGCTTCACTGCAGACAGCTCTCAACTTACACTACATTAATTCTTGTTACCCTTGTTACCTTGTCAGAGGGATTCTATGTTTCACCAACTGAATACCAAATCATTGAACAAACATGATCTAGATGTTTATCATACTCCATCAAGGGACATGGGAGGTTGAAAAATCATAACTTTATGATTACAAGTTCGGGAGAGGGGGATGAGGCAAAGAAAAAAAACAACTTTGGAAAATAAATCATTTGTGGTGTTGCGCCTCCAGTCGTTAGTTAATTTTCCGTAACTTGGTTCCGATGAAACTTT